AGCTTGGGAAAATACCCAAGCATCTTCCAGGCGGAAATTTACGCCATCCAGAAGTGTATCCAGTTTAACATCGAGAGAAACTATCATAGACAAGAGATTATCATCATGTCCGATAGTCAAGCAGCCATCAAAGCGCTGAGTTCTTACGTAATCAGCTCAAAAATGGTCTGGAGATTCCTAGAACAATTGAATGAGCTAGGCGAGAAAAATAGAGTTACTTTCACTTGGGTCCCGGGACATAACGGGGTACAGGGTAACGAGATTGCAGATTGTCTTGCAAGGAAAGAGGCTCAAACACCCTTTGTAGGACCAGAGCCGTTCTGCGGATATTAAATAGAAGAGGGAGATTTACCTAACTTGAAGCCACTTCAAATCCTACACTTCCTTGAGAAAATAGGATTCGAAGGGTCGCTATAGACATTAAGACATTTCCTTAGTGCAGTGGCGACAGAAGGGGGCACAATAGATCTTTTAGGTCGCAGTGTATTAACACCCCATTCTCAACATAACATAACATGTTTAACACTTGTGGCTTAAATTTACTACTGTGACCACTACAGATAGTAATAATTTTTGATCATAATTGCAATAAAATATTGGGCTTTCCATGAAAAATATAACTTTAATATGCCACACTTTTTTGTGCATTATTTTTATTTCAAAATAATTTTAAAATGTAGTTCTTATTGAGTTACAAGTAGCCATAGAAAAATATCAAGATTGTAGTAGTTTATGCACAAAATTACATGCCGTGTATTGTACTTTTTCCTTTATGAAGAAGCTTCACTGAAAGCCCAAATCAGACTCAGCTGGATTTTTTTCTATTATTAAATATGCTAACCTCCACTGCAGCAATTAATTATATAACTTCCTGTTTCTGTATTCATTCTATTGTTAGTAAACCGTTTGATTATAAATCGCTTCGCCCTATTGGTATATTATGTGCTCTTGCAAAGTGCTTCGAAAAAATGATTCATGTACAAATAAATTCACACATTAATAATTATACTATCATACCTCAACAGCAATCAGGATTTAGACCTAAACATAGTTGCACTACCGCTTTATTAAACATTACTGAGGATATTCTTAGGGCAATTGATCGTAATGAATTAACAGTACTTGTACTATTAGATTTTACCAAAGCTTTTGATAGAATAAAACATGAATTGTTGCTAGCCATATTTCATTACATTGGTTTCTCTAATAATGCAGTTGGGCTGTTGAGCAGCTATCTTCAGGGATGGAAGCAAGCTGTTGTTGTGGACAAAATAGAATCCCAATATTTGACAGTAAAGAATAGTGTTCCCCAGTTCTGTCTTGGGACCGACCTTTTTCAATATCTACACTTTTGAATTTAACAAATCACTAAGGTACTCCACTAGCCATTTTTATATTCAACTTTATATTTCTTTCCCTGAAAATATTTCTTAATTAGCAATGAAACAGTTAAATAGGGATCTCCAATCATTAGCGGATACTGCCAGACATTTTTGCCTCAGTCTTAACCCATGGAAATCCCAAGTTCTCTTCTTTGGAAGAAAAAATCTGCGAAAAAGAACTCTGGACTCTGTTATTTTAAACATAAATGATATACCTATACCATTAGTTGAAAGTTCAAAAAATCTTGGTTTGATTCTGGACACCTCTTTGCATTGTACGCAACATGTTAACTTAATTATTAAGAGAGCCTACTGCAACTTAAAGTTAATTTATGCAAATAGGGGCCTTTTAGACCGAAAAAGTAAAATTACTCTATGTGAGGCTTTGGTATTGTCACATTTAAATTTTGCCGATTTAGTATATGGTCCAGAACTACTAAAATGTGATTTGCGTAGACTCCAATTAGTACAGAACTCTTGTGTGCGTTTGATTTCTGGTTTAAAAAGACGCGAACATATCGATGGATAGGAAGAGAAAGATCAGTGTCTTGGCCTCCTCGATCACCTGACCTAAATGTCTTAGATTTTTTTGTGGGTATATTTTTAGAAACAATTAACTTTCATTGTCGCGAACTTATAAGAACTTGTCATGTTACTTTGTATTTTTAACCGACTTCAAAAAAGGAGAAGGTTATCAATTCGTCGCGATATTTTTTTTATGTATGTTCAGCGATTATTCTTTAACACGGTGTCCGATTTTAATGATTGGTTTTTTGTTAGAAAGGGGGTACTTCAGGGGTGGTTCCATATAAATTTAGTCAAAATCTAATAATTGGGTCCATGAGAAAATCCTCAAACTCTTCATTTTTTATGTATGTTTAGCGATAATGCTTTACCACCTTGTCCGATTCATATGATTCTTTTTTTGTTAGTAAGGGGGTACCTCAGAGGTGGTTCCGTATAAATTTAGTTAAGATGTGGTGATGGCATCTGCATGTTTTTGAAGTCGGTTTTTTTATATTTTTAATTTCTAATACTTGTTTCTAAATCCGAACGATTGCCCACATATTTCGGGACACCCTGTATAAGATAGACGAAAACTATTTTCTAATTTATATTATTATTTTTGTAGATCAGAAATTGGAATTACCTAGAACTGGTAATTAAGTTGACTAATGATGAAGAATGTCAAATTATCTAATAATTTTATGCGATCTTGAAATACCAGTTTTAAAAATAAACTTTCTATCTTTGACGATACTAATCCAGTAAAGCTTAATCTTGTAGATACATTTTTATATTTTGTTAATGACACTATTTTTGTAAATTATGTAAATTAACAATTACTAAATCAATCCAAAGCTATTTTTAGTCGTATAAGTAATTTAAATATAACATAAATCAATGCTTCCCAATTTTTGTTTTGTTAATAATATATCAGTTAAGCTAACATAATGCATGTTTAATTATTTAGGTATATTGGTATATTATTTGTAGACCTCGCTGAGGACATTTTATAAGTAATTTTTATTTTTTTTAATAGATTTGTCTACTGTTAAAATTTCTTAGAGGACACCTTATTATACAGGGTGGGCCCAATTAAAAGTTCCACCCCTCTTATCTTTGTTATTAGTTGAGATATAATTATGATTATTTTTTTATTAAAAGCCGAAGTAAGAACTTTATTATATCGTATTAAATTATTTTGTGACGTCATGGCGTACTTTCGGTTTTTCCGGAAATAACACTAAATCGCAATTTATATTTTATTTTTAAATAAAAACTCAAGATTAAAATAGATTTAATTAGGACTGTGGGTCATGTTGCCTCTCCAACTTCGAGCTTTTCAGATCTACTGTGGATATCCTTTAATCGTTGGTTTTTCTTCTCTAAGTGTAAGGAATCTTAGTATTGCTAGACTTTGGCAGTAGCACAATAGATGCACAAACTTTTTATTCAATATTTTAATTTATTAAACATTTTTGGATAAAGACCATCCACTCAAAATATTCTGTCAGCTGTCAAAATGGCCGTCATATTGGATAATACTATTTCTAAATATTTAACTACTAACTCGTTTAAGGAAGAATATATTGAACTAAATTATTTTTAAAAACCCTTCGTGAGCCTTAGTATTCCCTTTGAGCCTAATTCAAATTACACCAGTGGCGTATCGAAACATTTTTGTTATTCAATATTATTTATGATATCAAATTTGTTTTTTGTTTGAAAACTTAGAACAAGTACTTTTTTATGACGGATTAAAATTTTTCCGGAAATAACAGTAAATTACATTTTTTTTATATAAATGAAAACATCCATGTCAATTTAAAATTGTATTTTATTGAGCATTTTTAGATATAAATCTTTTATTACAAATATTCTATTAGCTGTCAAAATGGCCGCTGTATTGAATACCTAATATAATTTTTAAATTTGTCACTAATAACTCGTTAAAGGAAGAAAATATAAGAATGCATTACCTTTAAAAACTCTTTGTAAGCCTTAGTGTTCCCTTTTGCGACAGCAGCGCCAATTGATTTAGGTACTCATGGACTATTTGGCGTATACTAAGAATACAGGTTTTAATAGAATTCGTAATTAAAAAGTATATATGTAAGTTTTATTAAAAGTATATGGATTTGTAAAACAAGTAAAACATTAATTTAATATTATTATTAGGGTTACGTATATTTCGCAACTAAAAAACCGAAATTTCGCCTAAATACAAATTAAAAATCCAACATTTCGCATTTATTCGAATAAAAAATAAAAAATATTTCAAAACTCGTATTTATTACCATAATCATTAAAATAACAAAATATTTATTAAAGAAAAGTTAGTTAAAAGCTAACATCCTGGTTGTCTCTATATTTTCTTGCTTAAGACTTTGCCTTCGGCCATTTATGACGATATTGTAGATACTGAAATATCTTTCAGCATCTATACTGTCGACTGGGATATGAAGACTTCATATAGCTGCATTCGCGAATCTCAGGTAGCAACATTTTGATGCAAGTAAAATCTGCATGATGTTAACAGTAGTTTCTTGCTAAACCACATTGACGAGTTGTCTATGGAAATAAGCATATTCACTTAAGAGTTCATCCTGTGGTATATCCCTGAAAAATTGTATTCTGTAGAAGCTGTTCAGAGTTGAGTTAGTATCCAGAGATGTTGTAGTCACGGCTGCTGCTACTGATGGTCAAAATAATTTGCCAATGTGCAGGTAGGAATCGTTTGTTGGGTTGGACCTCGTATGTGAAGACAATTTATCCAAGCTCTTCTATGCTGCTGTCTTCAGCATAATACTGTGCTCTTGATGGAATTTACCATTTTCGTTTAACAAAATGTTTTTAGTTTTTTCTCCAAACGAACCTTTATGTTGTCGCTTAAGAGAAGACTTTAAATCTTCTAATTTGCTCCATAAAATGTTCGCGAATGAATATTTCGATTTTTAAGTTGTCAATTATATTTTTAATATTTTTGGACAGAACTCCAATACAAATGTCAACTGAACTCGTATCTTGTGAGCCAGAGTTTCATTTTCAGAACATTCCGTCAGGTAACTAGTACTCATGTTATCGTCATAGTCATTTATAAATAGCAATAATATGCTCCACATATTCGCTTAAATAGATTACAGATTTGAACCAAGAATTCCAATCGTATTCAGTTCTTTAAACTCTTTAACAAAGATATCACCTACGAGATTCACTTTATGTGCCCAACATTGGTAGTGTAAAATATGGTAACCAATCAGTATTTTTAGCATGTTAAAATATGCAAAGTCTGATACTAATCCATGCACTTGAGAGTAGTCGATGTCGTAAGCTTTCAAGGTGTCTATGATGGCTTGTGAGCAAGTGGAACCATTGGCAGCGTGTAAAAAATATACACTTGCTAAAAAGCAAGACTGTTCTGGTTCTGCATTTACAGTTTTAAATAAGACTGTAAAAACACATCTTCCTTGAGTGTCGGATGTTTTATCGCCTACTACAAGCTGATTTTTTAGGTTCTCCTTGTTTTTTTCTTTCTCCGCAATACCGCACAGTGGCACATATTTACGTCTCAAAGTATCGCCAAAAGGGAGGTTATCTGAATCGGGCACATATTTATTCAAATATTTGCGAAGAGCAGGATGATCCAGTTTATGTATGGGAATGTTAATTTTCAAACACATTTTTACGGTATCTTCTGCAAAAGTTTCTCTTTCCATTTTAACACACTTTTGCACTTCAAACCCGCCGACAATTGTAGACTGCCTTTTCGTTCCAAAGGGCTCTAGTTGAGTCTTGGTTTTCTTCTTTAAATGGTTAGAAGACGTCGTATGTTTCTTCAGTGTATCTGTATTATTGCCATCTAGACGCACGTTGCAATATTTGCACGTAACTATGTCAGTATCACTTAGATACAACCCATTTGGATGAAAGTCTTTTATTCTATTAGATAATTCCTTTTTATAGCGACTCATCTTGATATACAATACGAAACAAACCGAACAAAACAAGATAAACAAACGCACGCGTACTATTATCGAATGACTGACCAAGGACTGCCGAATGACTGACTGAGGAGCGTTCGTCCCACCCGCACGCCCCACATACGCAGCAACACGCGGCGGGCGGGAGTAAAGTTCAAATAAGGTCATATAAACGTAGATGGTGTGCGTTTACAACGTGCGTGAGGCTCGTAATATTAGAAAATTCACGTGTTTATTGTCTTTAAAAATGTTTTTCTTTGAAATTTAGTCGAAAAAATATTAAATACACAGAATATTATATTTTGTATTTATCGCATACATTACGTGAAATTCGCATATGTCGCTTCTATTTCGTAAAAACAAAAATTGCGTATTTCTAATTATTATATATTTTTATGGCTTAAATTAAAAAATAAGTATAATCAATAAAAATCAATAATAAAATATAGGCAGGCAACAGTATTTACGAGAAAATGTATGAGAAGTTGCCTAAGTCCAATAAGTTTTCTTTGAAGAATCAATCTATTCTGTCAAATTAAAAAAATACCATTAAACAAAGCGTAAAGTTAAAATGTATAAACAGAAGGATTGTTATTTATATTTTCATTTGTGTTTAAAAGAAAACAGAATGAATGAGTAAAACTGGTTTCCTCTCAGTAAGTCACAAAATTGCGTTCCAGCCACATACAGTAATCAAAGGCAGAAATCTTGAAATCTAGTCCTTGCTAAACATTTGAGAATGTTGAAGAACATCGTAAAATTATAATTTATTGTTTATTTAAAACCTTTCAAGCTTCTGATGTCTAGTATTTCCAGTATTACTTTTATTATTATAAAAATAAAGGTAATTTTTCTTATTGTACCCCTATCCATTTATTTCTTTAATTTAATTTTCACTTTGCTGCCGAAAATTTATATAATTTTAACTGTTTTTTTTTGCTAGTATTTTTACAATTTTCAACACAGCAACTCCGGTTGAATTTTGTATTGTTTTTACCTACTTTTTTTAAAAAAAGTATAATGTATACGTATATTTGATATGCCGAAATGATAAAATATGGCCCTAAAATGCACGAATTATCTGCAGCTAGCGCTAGTATCCCTTTTCTTTCCCCTACCATGACTTCGAACTGAGCGAATTGGTAAACCTTTTAAAAATTCTACTTCCTTTAAAACAAGTTATTATTTCTGATATCGAATTTATTATTATTTGTTTGAGAGCTTGGAACAAAAAGATTCTTATGACGGATTCAATTAGTCTTTGATATCATGGCTTATCTCTGTTTTTTCGAAAATAACGGTAAATCACAGTAGTTTTTTAATTTTTAAATAAAAATACCCGTTTTTATTTTATTTATATAAATCGTGTATTCAAAATTTGTTATTAAAAAAGAAAATAAGGTTATTAAACCGATAATATAATTATTAAAGAAAAATGACAAGGTAAACAATACAACAAAAAGAAAATATTTTACCATAAATTATTATAAAACAAAACAACAGTAACAAATTCCTAAAATTTTACGTATCATTTTTAAAATGACCTTCTTTATTTAGATATAATTCCAAAGGTGTTTTAATTCGATTTTTGTCGCTTTCCGCAGCATAGTTGGAGGTACTGCCGTACATTCATTTACATATCTATATTCAGCAAATTCTATAGTTAATACAATCGTTATTTTTATTTTGTTTTTTACTTTCCTATCTGTATACAGATATAAGGAAAGTATAGGAATCATGATCTTTTTCGACCTCGAGTTTTTGACGGATTTTTACGTTTTGAGGTCCTCTGAATCCGTTTTGACTATTTTCGCGATGATGTCTGTATGTGCGTGTGTGTGTGTGTGTGTGTGTGTGTGTGTGTGTGTGTGTGGGTGCGTGCGTGCGTGCGTGCGTGCGTGCGTGTGTGTGTGTGTGTGTGTGTGTGTGTGTGTGGGTGCGTGCGTGCGTGCGTGCGTGCGTGTGTCGCATAACTCATGAACCGATAGACAGAAAAACACCAAATTTCAAACTTAAGCTTTGTTCCAGCGTCCAATGTGCTGATTAGATTTTAGGCAGTGTCGGAACATCTGGGGGGTACTTTATAGGTGGTCATTTTTATATTGTATGGAATATATCTGTTATTTACGTTTGGGGAAGAAAATTCTTCAAATAAAAGTTACTTCTTATATTAATATCTAAAATTGTTTTTCTGTACAAAATTTTCCTAAAATGGTCCGTATTCGAGAAATTTGACAAAATGTAAAAAAATATTTTTTTTTTTATAAAAATTGTTCAATGTAATTCTCTATAATTTGTGTCCTATATACAATTTCTCTAAAATAGACCGTATTCGAGATATTTGAGAAAATGTGTAAATTTTGAAATTTGAAGAAAACTCAAAAACATTAAGTTTTAAACTTAAGTTTTATTTCGACCTGACGTGAAATGATTAGATAATAATTAAAATATATTTAAAAAAATAATTAACAATAATCGTATTTTTTCAATTTTCATAATTTCTAAACAAATAAAAAAAAAATTAAAAAACAAAAAAAAAATTAAAAAAAATTAAAAAAAATTTAAAAAGAAAAAAAAAATAAAAAAAAAAAAACAAAATGATTAGATTTTGGACAAAGTCGGAACATCTGGGGAAGTACTTTATGGGGGGCCGTTTTTATATTTTATGGAATATATCTGTTATTTATGTTTGGAGAAAAAAATTGTTTAAATAAAAGTTATTTCTAATATTATTATCTATAATTTTTGCTTTTTATAAAAATTTCCTAAAATAGTCCGTATTCGAGAAATTTGACAAAATGTGCAAAATTCTGATTTTTATGAAAACTGTTGAAATAAAAGTTGTTTGCGATATCGATCTCTATAATTTTTGTCTATACATGATTTTTCTAAAATGGACCGTAATGGAAAAATTGTAGGAAAAGTGATAAATTTAAATTTTTCAGTATTTTCATTTTCAATGAACATCTATAAAAAATGTTTCGAGGTAGATGTATGTGGAAAATGTATATATTTATTTTATCCTCTAAACATTTATGGAGGTGCTGCAATAGGTTGTACAAAATAACCGGAAAAAGCCTGTAATAATTAGATAGGAAAGTCGTGTGTTGGACACATCAGATTTTTATATATTCCTATAAAAAATAGTCCAGAAGCGTTAGGTCTGGGCTTCTTGCAGATCATAAAAATCGATCTTTTGTGACTAACTATTCATCCTTAAACAATTGAGTTAATTTTCTATAATCAATAGCTAAATTATGAGGGCCTGCACCATCCTCCTGGAATTAAATTAAGTTTTTTTTTGGCGCTGGTAGTTTGTTAAGAAATGTGCTTAGAATTCCATTAAGGATCTCGTCCATATACCTTCTTTCAGTTAGTTTACCATAGTAAATGTAGGGACCAATAATCCTGTTGTCAAAGATACCGCACCACATATTGAAAATTCTCCTTCTTTGCGCATTTTTATTGCGAACTCTATGTTCATTTTGGAACAATAAATATTGTTTAATATATCTATTAAATAGATTATCAGTTGTTACTTTTGATTCATCGGTAAAAAAAAATTATTTTTGTAAAAGTTGCTTTCCTGTCTATTTATTAACATAAAATCGCAAAAATTGTGTTCTGAGTTGGTCGTCTGAGTATTTAAAGTTTTTCAAAGCATACTTCTTTAATATTCTTCTTACAGAACCGCGAGAAATTGTACTTGCTGCCGCCACCGAACGAGTCGAATTTGAAGGATCAGCGACTGAATTTTTTACATTTGTATTTGGTTTTGGTCTGTTTCTAAGTTAGGAAAAATATTCCTATTCTCAAATTTGACCAATTTAAAAATAAACCATAAAGGAAAAAGAGAAAATCTCAAAGACCGTGTCACATAAACAACTAATCCCTTGGCTTATATCGCAACAGGCATTGTATTCTATCAAAAGGTGGATAGCAGAGATAACTTTGATTTTGTTTCCTAAGCAGAAAGTCATTCTTGGAACCGTTTCGTCCTTATTAGAACTCTACAACAAGAAAAAGACCATGTCGACTCTGGTCTTCAATAGAGTCTGATGACTAAAAACAATTTTCTTTCATACACACATTAACAGCGGTTGAGAAATGTGTAGATATTCAAGGAGCAACAATGGTAACGCCATCTCAAATATTAACTTAAATAAGAGAGGGTGAAATTTTCAAAAATTTTGCCAATATAAACATGTTTAGATAAGCCACTGGTGTAATTTGGGTCTCAATGGAAACACTGAGGTGCACAAAGAGTTTTTAAAGGTATTGCATTCCCATATTTTCTTCATTTAACTTGTTATTAATAACAACTTCAAAAATGATTTCATCCAACATGGCAGCCATTTTGACAGCTGAGAGAACATTTTTATTAAAATATTCCTATCTATAAGTGTTCAATAAATTACAATTTCAGATAAATATTTGAATTTTCATTTAAAAATAGAAATAAATTGCAATTTACTGTTATTTCCAGAAAAATCGGAATTAAGCCATGATGTCACATAATAATTTAATCAATTATAAAAAAGAACTTGTTCTAAGCCTTTAAGCAAAAAAATTCAATTTTATATCACAAATAATGACTAAAATAAGAGCGGATGAGTTTTAAGAGGTTTCGCAATAAAAAAAAAGTTTAGATCCGCCCCTGGTGTAATTTGGATTAGTCTGAACGAGAACACTCTCTGGCTTACAAATAGTTTTTAAAGTTAATTAATTTCAATATATTCTTCCTTGCACGAGTTGTTAGTAAAATATTTAGAAATAATATTATCCAATATGACGGCCATTTTGACAGCTGACTAAAAATTTTCAATGAACGATTCTTATCCAAAGTTGTTCAATAAATCAGAATCTTCAATAAAAAGTTGGGGTTTTCATGTAAAAATAAAAAATAAATTGCCATTCACTGTTATTTCCGGAATAACCGGAAGTACACCATAACGTCACAGAATAATTGAAACCGTTATAATAAAGATATT